AGGGGGGTTGGACTGGGTGACCCCCAGAGGTCCCTGCCAACCCCAACCAGTCTGTGATTCTGTGGTGCGTACCCGAACAAGGGCCAGAATGTGAAAAGCGGCTCTCAACCCACTGCCGCGGGAGCAGGGGGAAGGAGGGGCCTACGCGACCCGGGAGGAGCGCGAGAGGACGAGCACAGGGTAAGGGCTCAGGGGCTGCGAGCGGGCGCACAGCAAGCGACGGGGCCCCTGCGACACCAGACGCTAACTCGGGTCTCGGCACGCGACGTCAGCCGGAGCCCTGAACTGCAGGTGGAAACGTGCTTCCACCGGTAAAGCTTCTCCGAACGCTTGCGTTCCCTCCTTACTCTTTTCCTCTAAAAGTACAAAAAGATGCTCTTAAAAGTTTCTTTATCAATCTCGTGCGCTGCTCAGTGTGGTTCTGTTCTCAAAGCCCGAGTACGGCCACCAGACAGAAAACGGACACAGAATGGAGTGCAGTGTCTGATCAACACTGTACAGGGACCTCAAACAACTACAAACAATTGGTGCATGTTCTCATTCCACAGCCACGAGATTTGCCATGGGACATGCAAGGTCTGCAGGATGTTAAAATAAAATGAAATTAAAATTCAGTTTCTGTGTGTGGTTTTCAAGTGCCACGCCTAGGCTTTCTAGCCGTGAAGCAGCACCTCCCAAAAGAAATGTGTCGACCAATAAGGTGTCGGCTGATGGAATTTAGAAGCAATATGAAATTACAGTTTTCATTAATTTTTTCATGTCTCATGTGGCACAGTCACGTTGATAAGAGAAAAAGGCTTTCACCCCCGAAATAACAGATTGAAAGAGTTACCCAATAATTGTTTCTATTTCCAGACTAGGTAGATCTGTCCAGAAACAGCTGAGGAGATCTTTGGACAGCTCTGCCCAGTCTGGAAACACGCAGTAACCCAATGCAGGAGGACGACACGGGCGGACCCCCTTCCCCAGCGCCGCTCCCAGGCTTACTGCCGCCACACTCACACCGGCGCTGC